TGGACAATCACTCAGGACTTCTGGGTTTGAGACAGAACAGCCCCCATCCGAGGGCCACCACGGACTGTGAGGACGTGTCGCCTGCCATCCTGGGGCGTCCTGCCGACCGGGGCGCATTACCTACGGTAGATGTGACTGGCGGAGCTGCTGCCCAGGCCCGCTGCACCGTCCCCAAAGTCCCACAGGTAGGTGACATCACTGCCAAAGGTGAGTCTGCACTGAAAGGTCACAGTGGCGTTCACCAGAGCCGAGGAGGCGGCCACGAGTCGGCTGGGGACCACCCTCCTCTGCACCCAGACATGGTGGGGCTCCGAGGTCATGCTGCTCATCCCGTTGGAAGCCTGGACCACCACGCGGTACCTGGGGGGGGCGGGGAGCCAGGTCAGAGGCAGAGACAAGCTGCTCGTCACTTCCAAGACGGCCAGGGCCCGGCACCCAATCTGTAGGGTTGTCACAGCACCGGTGGTTTCCACCTCACCGGGGTGTCGGGAGACGCTTTCTGCCCTCCCCTCTTCACGAGGTAAAGCACCGCTCAGAGCGGCGGCGTGAGCACCGCCACCTTCCTCAGAAGAGGACTTCGCTTAGGCCACAGGGGTGGTGGGATGGCATTGGGCCGGGACGGTCTGGTTCCGAAGCCCCCCACCCGCCTTGTTTAGAGGGAGACTCTGCTTCCTTGTTTGGGTTCAATTAAGTAGATGCGACACTTAATTTATTTGGTACGAGCACGCTCTCTCTCTCCAGACTGCTCGGGGACGGCCGTGTACGCACCACTGGGCGACGCCAAGTCTCCTCCTGATGCTTCTGGAAGTCGTCCTCACGGGTGGGTCTCCGCCAAAGAACCACACAAACTCCAGGGCACTGGTTTCCTTGGTAACGGCTACAAAAGCGATGTCAGTGTCGGTGGCAAACACTGTCCCGTTTGTGTAGACAGACACGGCTGTGATGAAGGAAAGGGAGGCAAAGAGCTTCAGCCCGAGGGCCGGGCCCAGCCAGGGAAGGGCGTCCCCGCCGTCCGGTGAGTGGGGAAGTGGGCCTGCACGCCGGAGCTGGCAGGTGGTTCTGCATGGTACCCCCTTCTCATGCCTTATGTAGAAGCCTTAAGGCCTGTGGCTTCTAGAAAAGTCCTAGAAGGGACTCAGATCAACAAGAGTTCGGTCAAGGGCAAGTGGGGTCTCGGCAGAGCTGTCACAGAATCTGGTGCCATCTGTGGCCTTTGTGACTGTGACCAGCTGCGAGGAGGTCTCGCTAAATCTCGAATTACAGGGAACACGTACGCTGCAGCTGGTAGCGAACTGTCACTCCGGCCCAGGCCTGGCTGTCACCCACGTGGGTCTGGGAGGTGAAGCTCACGTTGTAGCAGGAAATGGGTGGAAAACAGTGCTTAAGGACAGTGCCTGGATGGAAAAAAGAAATCAGGGAAAAACAGACTCAAACTGGTTCACTCGTCTCGCACAACACGGTCGGCCTTTCCAGTTTTAAGTTTCCTCTTTGAATTCCAATACATTTCAAAATTTGAAGCAAGTATTTGGAATCAGACCTGGGAAATATACACTTTGTCATAAAACTTCTCATCATTAGAATGTTCTCTAAGTGCTTCTCTCTCTCTCTCTCCACACAGCAAGTACATTCATTCCTTTGAAATATGCTCACGACTTCTGCAGGTGGCGTTGTATTTATGGCGTCCCTCCGTGTGCACACTAAACAGCTCACACACGGCCCACGGGTAACCTCGGGCTCTGAGGCCTCGGAGGTGCGATGCAGATGGTGCACATACGTGTGTGCACACGGGCACACGAGCACATGGACACGCATATATGTATGCATGTACCGGGGAACACACCAAACATCTCATCAGGTTCTAGGAGGGGCCCCAGGTGTCTAGGAAGATTGAGGGGAACTCATTTACCGGGAAGGGAAGGGGTGTTAGGGAAGGAGGCGGGTTGCTTTGCAAACACTGCTGGTCCCGTTCTGTGTAGTTTCTCTCTTTCTAGGAGAACGTGCCTGCGTGTGAGGTGACGGACTGCCGTGGGCACCCTGCTCAGCATCAGCGCATGAGAATATCTGGAGCGTGAACACCCCTGGACAGGAGTGATGTCGCCGCAGCCAACTCCCGCCTGAGGTGTCCCCTCCCCCGGGCTCCGCACACACCCTTCCTGGGAACCTCCCTCAGCCACGTCCGCCTTCCAGCGCACGCTTGTCCCGGCTCACATTCTCCCTCTGTGTATCTTAATGTCTTACTGATCTGACCACAAATGCCTCGAGCCTCGGGCTTTGTGTCCCCAAGGGCACAGCACTGCACAATGCACGTCTTCTGAAGGACGGAGGAATGGAGGGAGGCTGTTGTGTTGGGCGTGGAGCTGTCACCACCTGGACAGGGTGACCAGCAGGCGGCTTCGCCCAGAGCCCGGGCCCGCTGCCCACGCCGCCCACACTGCCCATGTGGTCTCACCTTGGCGATCGGCCTGCGAGCCAAAGGCCAGCACTTCACCGTCGTGGACGCTGCTGGAGTTCACAAACACGGTCGCAGCCGCGCGGCCCACGTGCACGTAGTAGGGCCCAAGCTCCCACTCAGTTCCACACCGTTCGTTATGAAGAGCTGCCCTGAGCACATAGACGCCTTCTGCAGGGAAGAAAACGGCGGTTCGATGCTGTTAGACGCTAGCAGACGTTTGTCGTGTAGGCTGCTTGTGACGGGCTGACTGACGGGCACAGACGCTGACGCTGGGCCACTCTGGTCACACGAGCCTGCAGGCGCTCCGGCCCCACGCCCCTCGCGGCGCGCGCCCTAACGCTCTTTCTAGTAACTTGTCTAACGAGTTCTGCGCTTCCCTTTTGCCCTGGGCCCAGAGAACCACGTGGCCAGTGCCCTGCAGTGAGAAAGAGTCACAAGAACGAACACACGTCGATCATCCCACAGCCGGGCAGAGACATACCTGAACCATCACGCACAAGTTTATCAAAGAACCATTTCAGCAGGTAACAGAAAGGCCGTGGACCTCCCCGCTTTCGCCCGACAACGCGGCTGCCGTGTGACCGCACGCCCTCCCTCTGCAGGGAGACTCTCTCCAGCCCTCAGACCCGCGAGGCTCTGGCCCACAGGCCTGCACCCCTGAGCTGCTCTCGCCGGTCTTGGGAGCCTGCACTGCTCCGTGGGAAGAAGCCGGCCGCCCGGTGGGTGACGAGGGACACGTGAGTGACACCCCCGTCACCCTGGCCAACAGCCAGCTCCCCTTCCAGGAGTAGAGCCCTCAGGGACTGGAGCCTGTCCAAGGCCAGCCCAGACCTAAGAAGTCCCAGCAGAACCGGAGGCAACGCTGCATGTGCTTTAAGACGCTGCTGGGGGCCTGTGACACAGCAGGTCACTCACGTCCTCCTGACAAAGACCCTCGGCCGCTCTCATCCCAGCCCCACACACAGCACTTTTCAGTTGTTCATTCGAGTCCCCGGCTTCCAAACGCTGGGCGACTTCTCCTGTGACCCAGGATGCAGTCCTTAGCTGGCCTTCACACTCAGCTGGTCCCCATTCCCTGCCCCCACGCACCCCCTGCCCCTCTCCCCTGCAGAGCCCGGGTACCCCGCCATCTCACTAACCTGCCCATCCCCTCACGTCTCCCCCGGCCTCTGGAGCTTAAGGACCAGGCAGAAGGAACAGCTGTGTCTGGCCACTGACCACGAGACCTAGGCCTCCCTCTCAGGGCCTCACTGCCGCCATCCTCGTCCCCAAACCTCTGCGCGAACCACTTAAGATGCGGGGAGTGTTTACCAAATCAGCCAAGCTTTGCAAAAAGGAGAACCGAGCCCCCAGACTTCAGTCCATGGCTTTACACACGCCCAGTCTCCCTGTGCAGGGAGATACGTCAGCTGCACACCCTCAGGACACAGCCAACCTCTCCCAGCCTCGCCCGCTGCTCCTGTGAGTGGCGGTAACTCCAGCTCCCCCAGGTGCAGGGACCAATGGGAGAACATGGGACAGTGGCCACTGCACGGTACCCGCCTCCGTGTCAGGGGGAGGGGCACAGGGTCAAGGGTCCCCCGTTGGCCCCCAGTCTCACTCTCATCAACATTTCCTTGCCGTGCTCCTGATGCTGAAGCGTGCGTACCTTTCCCGTACTGGTGGTAGGCGGTGACGGCCGCCTCCTCAGACACACAGCGGATCCTCACTTGGATGCCAGAACTGTCGCCTAAATCCATCCGCAGACACAGAGCCCCTTTGGAAACCATCTGAACCCGGAACCCCAGACTCAGAGGTGCCCGAGTGTCGGCCCCTGGGGAGCGATGGCTGACAGGAGGCACCAGGTCACCAGGGCCTTGCACTGGGAGACTCTGAGTGAGGGGACAGAGCCGCTGGCGACCAGGCTGGGGCGCGGCGAGGCTGTGGGGGCAGTGAGGTCCAGGAGCAAGGCCGGGGGCACTGTTGGGAGAGAGCAGGCACTTCAGGTCTCACAAGGCTGACAAGTCTGGGGACCTGTTGCGTGGAGGGCCGGGCGGCAGGAGGGAGCAGCCCACTCCGCAGGCCGTTCAGCCGAAAGCCAGGGTTTGGGACCTGGTGGCAGGGCTGGCTTTCACCTCTTCTCAGAGTGGGGTCCCGGGGCCAGCAGGACCAGCACCACCGGGAGAGGTGCAAGTTCTCGGGGGTCGCCCCAGGCCCGAGTCACCCAGCCCCCGAGTCCCGGACCCAGACTCAGAAGGGGGCCCCAGCAAGCCCCCAGGAGACGGACGGAAAATCTGAGAAGCGCTGCTGGAGCTCTGGCTGCACCCGCCCAGCGATGATGTGTTTCCCTCACAGCTGAAGTGATGGACACAAAAGGTGTGCCCCCCACAGGCCACCGCCTGTGACGATTTTGTGGAAATGCTCAATGTGGGGTGGGTGCTGTCGTGTCCACGTGCAGCAGTGTCTGCTGTGGGCGAGTTGGGGAGTCGGGAATAGTCTGGACAACTGGACCTTCCACCCCCAGTAACACAGGACTTCCCTGACCGTCATCGATCTGCTCCGGGTGCTGCCGACCGTGTGGGCACAGATGGGCAGCACAAACCAGAGGGCAGAAGACCTCTGAGCAGACAGAACACATCCGTGGCCCCCGGGGATGGCCCTCCAAGGGATGCCCATCAGAAACACAGACAAAACTCCAGTCTGCACACGTGACCCATGTGACAGACACAGGGCACCAAGTAACTCGGGACCCTGGTGGGAAAGCGGCCGACTGCGGGGCCAGAGCCTGTGACTAGAAAGCAGTGGCCACAGCTGCCGCTGCAGGGAGCCAGGAAGATGCTAAAATCAGTCGCTCGCTGGACATGGCTCTGGAATCCAGGGAGTCCCCTAGAGGGGACACTGGCCTCCATGCCACCCTCACCTTACCTGCTGGGCAAGATGGCAGGCCGTGAAAGTGGGGTGCTGGTGTGAGTAGATGCAGCCGCCGTGATGGGGGCCCCCATCGTGACCGTGGCCGGTGCAACATCAGTCCCGGGAAGCAGCTCCGAGGCCGTGTCCTCTGCAGAGCACAGCGGTCCCGCGGCACAGAAGGGGGTCTCCACCTCCAGGCTGCAGGGGCCAGCAGGACACGAGCACTGGAACTGAGGTTGAATACCGGTGAGGGTGGTGACGGGGCCAGGCTGGCACCGGCGCTGCTGTCTCCATGGTCAGAGGGCTCCTGCACTCGAGCGGGTCCTACGAATCGGCCCCCCGCCCCGGCGTGACGCTGGAGGAGGGGGCTCTACTTCCCAGCACGGCAGACGAGAGCACCCCGCTGGTACCAGCAGGAGCAACAGGGCACGCTCCGCGGGACTCTGGGGAATGGTGTGGTCAGTCCCGCCCGTCCCCCCGCCATCCCGGGCTAAGCTAATAGAAAGTGAGCCAGTCTATACGCGCAGCTATAAATCAACGTTGGCAGCTGACAGATGACGCTCTTACAAACATCGAACACGCGAGCTGCACGTGCCCTATTGTGCAGATGAGTTTCAGCTGTGCTTCCAGGCTGCCCCGCTGTGCCCACAGGACCGGAAGTTCCAGCACGCGCCCTGCAGGCCACGGCCGCCTGCGCCCAGCAGACACCCACCTGCAGCAGCTCACAGGAGGCCCCAATCGCTTCCCCAGCTGCGCGCGGCGGTCGGCGGCGGGGTCCGGGGCCACTGCTGCTCCAGAAGCTCGTGGGTCTAACTGGAGCTTCCCGGGGGCTCCTGAGAACAAGGGGAAAGCAGAGAGGGGAGCAGGCGGCACGTCACCACTTGGGGACAGATCGCTGCGTGCGCCGGCTTTGCCCAACACGGGGTGCAGTCGTTTCCACCGGCAGCTCTTCGTGCTGTGAATAGCTGGAGAGTCGGGAACAGCCTGGACCACGGCTGACAGGCACCTGTTCCTGGGGGGAAAGGGGGGCAGGGGACGCCTGGGGAGACCATGCAGGTGGACACCAAACCGGCGAGGGCGGCAGTGGTGTCCTGGTGCCTGGTGTCCCTGAGGAGGGACACTTACAGCCCCTTACTGGAACCTGTGGGCCTGTCTACAGCCATGACTTGACCACCTCACAGCTTCCCAGTGACTTCAAAGCATAAAGCCCCCCCCCCTCAACCCGCCCCGGAACAGCAGCCCAGAGGCCATTAGGTGGGACGTGGCTTGTTGAAGGGACAGCAGAGTGGAATGTGGTGGAAACAGTGAGACCCGGAGGGAAGAGAGTAGGGGGGACGCTAAATGCGTCCTGGGGGCCACAGGTGAGGAGCCATGCAGCTGTGGTCAGGTCATCGGCCCTCACTCTGCGGAGCGAGATTCTGACAATGGTGCCGAACGGTCTGACAGAGGCTCTACAAGAATCGCCTGCTGCCATTGGCTGGCGACACGCACTGGAGTTGGAGCCAGGCTTCCCCACGGATGAAACCGCTTTACAAGCCTGGTCTTGATGCAATAACCAAGGAGCTGCCGCCAGAGGGCAGACGGGGCACTCTTTAGGGAGAACTGCGGGGACTGGGGCAAAGCCCCACTCTGGAAGATGGAGCGGTCACTGGGCACTGGGCAAGGCGCCCGGGGGGCTGCTGAACAGCTCGGACGACGTCCTGTCCGCCTCTGACCGCACCTGTCTTCCGAAGGCCAGAGAAACGAGGACGCGAAAAACTTGGAAGGGACACCGCTGGTCCCAGCACAGCGTGCTGCAAACTTCAAGGTCTTCCTGCAGAGGTCTGGGCAGGTCGGCCCGAGGAAGGGCCAGCCTGATGGCCCCTGCGCAGGCGCCCAGGCCCCTGTCACGTAGGGTGACGTCCACAAACACCTCACACGTGGCCGGCCCCAAAGAGCCCCCTGCCTCTGCAGGTGAGAACCCCTTGGCTGTGATGGTCCGACGGCTCAGAAACCCTTTCCAATAACTAAGTGGGGGGTGGGATGGTGGTTTGAGTACAAGGGGGGCTTCCCCTGGCTCGAGGAGGATTCGGGCCCCAGGCTCCGGCCATTTTTGCAGAGGCATTAGCTGACCCTGGCCACACGTGGGGAGCACCCGGTTGCAGGGCGCAGGGCTGGCTTCACTCATCATGAACTTGCACTCTCAGCCAAGGACGGCGAGTCGAATGCGTGTCACACTATGGCCTTGGCGATACCATGAGCTACTGTGTTTCAACTGTAAGAATCACGCTTGCCAGCGGTGTTTCTGAACATGTGTCACCAAGGAGCCCTGGTGCCAGTGACAGGTCATCTCGGGGACCCCAGTCCCAGAGGCACGTCACCTCCCTGACCTTGGGGCCCAGGGAATGGGGTGTGAGAGAGGCTTGTGCCTTGTCATACTGCAGAGCTTACAGTGACACACTGTCCCAACAAGACATGTGTGCTGGTATCAGAGAGCGCACAGAGGGAGGTTTGGAAGTGACACCTGTGGCCCCGGTGACGTCTCCCGTGTGAGTTTCTGCCCCAGGTTCCACACTGGGGACCCGACAGACAAGAGGCAGCCGGCTCCGTGCACTCCGGGCAGTGAGCAGTTCCGGGAACCCTAAGGGCACCGGGCTCTGCAGGAGAGAGGGCACTTCTCGGCCGGCGGCAGGCCGCAGAGAAACCCTAAAACGCCTCAGGATAAACCCACTCAGCGCAGACTCACGTCACAGCTCCCCGTCCCAGCCACCAGCCACCTGCTCCCTCAGGCTTCACTGTGGACACTGGCCCTGAGGCCCAGGAGCTGCCGGCTCCCCCACCAGAGAGAGTCCACGTCCCCAAATAAACGTGAATGTCCTTCAGGTGATGACAGCCCCAGTGCTGACCTAAGAGCCCAGGTGACACCAGAATGCCACTTTGGAGCTCATCCCCTTTTGTGGTGGAAATGAGGGCAGAATTGGGATTTGCCTAAGTTAACATAAAGCTGTCGGGGTTTGGAACCAGGCACAGAGGCCAGGTCACGGGACTGTCCTCGCCACAACGTGACGACAGCAGTTGGGGTAAAGCTCTGTTCTTTAACCCCAGCACCTTCTTTAAAAATTGCTTTTTTTCTCCACTGAAACAGAAGTGGAATGTTCCTGTTGAAGGAAAAAATGCTGAATGCACACTTGTAGACACAGCCAAGACGCCGAGGACAGGCCGCTCACCGTTCCTGGCCGTCAGAAGCGCCCTTGGCCCTCGAGGTCCAGGTCCTTCCCGGGGCCAGTGGGTCACGGCCACAGCGGTCAGCCGGCCGCCTTCCTCTGAGATCCCCTGGAAGACAGTAAAGAGGAGCCTCGCGCATGCTTCCAACTTCTGTCCCGTGAGCACTCGCATCAGGACACGGTCACACCGGGGGGACAGAAAGACGAGTGTTTCCCTGGGCAGAAATGGAGCAGCTTTCTCCCAGTGCTTCCGAGAGCTCCTCCCATCACGTGCGCTCACGCAGGGGTCTGTGTGTCTGCCTGACACTGGCCACCGCCCCAGGGAGACACAGCTGACGGAAGCTGAGGAAGTGGGATGTAAAGCACCGGACTGGGACCTCTGGGAACAGGCCGCCCTCCAGGGTTCACAGGGATGACCCTCGCTGGCCCCCACTGCTCTGTTTGCCTTGGCGTTTGGCTGAGATGCTCCCCTGTGCTCCAGGCAGGTGTGTAAATTAATGTGTAACTGGAGAAGAAAGCGACACCAAGAGGGGGCTGTTCTGTGGCTCCGGGGGGTCGGGGGGGGCACGGAAGGTCCCAGGAGGAGGCTGAACAGCCTGCGGGGGGCTCGGGCCGGCACGTCTGTGTGAATCGCATCTGCCACAGCTCTGCTGCAGCCGGACAGACAGACGGGCCCCTGGGGAACTCAAAGGCACCTGCGCCTGGTTTGGCTACAGGCCCTCCCGCGTCTCCTGGTCCCTCAGCCACCCCAGCCCCCTGGTTCCCTTCCCGCCGTGCTGTGGGGGTGAACCCCCGAGACTTGGGGAAAGGCGTACTTTGCAGTTTTACTGGTGACGTGCCTACAGAAGGGACCCACTGCAAACACCTACCCATTAGCAAGCCAAGTCCCCTCTGACATGGAGGAAACGTATTTGTCACCTTCCTGTCACATATGAAGCCCTCCTCAGAGCCACCTGCCCGCTGAGCTGGACCCACACGGGGTCAGAGGGACAGCACGTCCATGGAAGTGACGCCTGCCCCCTCACCTTCCCTTCACGGTGGGCCCGACACACTTGGAACACGGCCCAGGGCTGAAGGGTGCAAAAGCCCAGAGCCAACCCGAGATGCTCACAGCTGAGAAGGCACAGAAGTGACATGACTGAGGAGGGACAGTCCCCGTGCTACCAGCCACAAGGGGCCACCTGGGTTTAACTAAAACTAAGGAACACTGAGGGTTATTTTCTCCATCACATGAGCCACATTTCAAGGGCTTGGAGTCCGGGTACAGAGGTCCGTCATCGTGGAATGTTCTGGTGGCCAGCGCTGGTGCGGGCAGGGCTGGGGGCATGGGGTCGCGTTCTGCGTCACCATGAGCCTCACCCCCCACCCTCAGCAGCACGAGGTTCTGTGTCACCAGTGAGGACGGACGGATAGGCATCGGGGAGAGCTGGGGACATTGAACAAACCAGACAGTGGCATCTGGAGCTTTTCAGGTACTTTAAGTGCAAATATTCTGAGTGAAATTAAATGGCTTCTAAAAATGGCTTCTTTTAAACCCCCGTCTCAGCCCCTCGGTTAGGAGCCGTCAGACTCCCCAGGACCTGACCCGTCCTCACGGCCTGGGTGGAGGAGGAGACCACGGGGCCAGGACAGAAGCCCGACTGGCAGGAACCCCAGGGAACCTTCCAGACGGCACAGCATGGAATCCAGCTCTCCTTTGCCTGGGCTGAGTTTTGGTGAACAAAACCCATCTATTTGGATTTTCTTAAGCACAAATTCTGTATTTCAGGTTTAATACTGATTTCGGTGCTGCCCTGAGGTAACAATTAAGTCCTGACTCCACAAAATGCGCAGCTACTTAGGACGCACACGGATGGAGGGGAACACTGGCCACCTGGACGCAGCGACAGCCGCCTGAGGGTCTCAGCAGTCCGAGCAAAGGCCGGCACGGTCGCAGCGTGACAAGCACAGTGGGCAGCAGCTCGTCCTGAGCGGAAGCCCGATGTCCCGTGCTGTCAGGCGTCGGGTGTGGGGAGCACGACACCAGCCACTCGGACAAGTGTGCACGTACGTAGGTGCGGAGCGTGGAACGGCCCTCCCTGCCCAGGTCCCAGCGCAAAGCCAGGCTCGGACTGTCCCCGGGGCAGGGCCTCCAGAGGGATTCATCTAGGGGCGCCCCCGCGGCCATCATGGCAAAGCGACCGCTCGTGCCTGACATCTCACTGCAGTCACGGCCGTGTCCACTGTGCCCCTAGGGGACCTTGTGGGCCCCCCAGGTCCCATCTCCAGGTGCTCTGAACTTTCTGCAGCACCCACCCCACCCTGCCACACACAGGGCTGCTAGCGGGGTGGGGACACGCTGGGTAACTGACTAAGCTGAGGCAAAAACTGGGAAATTACTGGGTCTTGGTAAATGTCCACTTACCCTCCTGTGAGCTGCTCCCAGGGACGGGCAGCACCGAGGACAGCAGGGCCAGGGCTGGGACCAGCACCCTCCACCCGGGCCCCATGGGGCCGCCTGCTCAGCACCTGGGGAGGGGGTGCAGGGGTCGGGGAGACGGCAGTCTGTCCTGAAGCAACAGGGCTGCTCTCCCTCTGTCCCAGGGGGACAGTGAGCCTCCCGGTGGGTGACTGGCCAACTGGCCAACCGCCCGCGTCCTGAGGAACCCCCCTCCCCCAGGAGCTGGGCTCTCACCCACCCACCAGCCCTGGGTTCTTCCACTCAGAGGAAAAGTGTCCTGAAGGGTGTTAAGTGCGTCCTCTGTGAGGCTCAACAGCTGCTCCAATAAAGTACACGAGGTTACTATGGTAACTGTGTGACAAACAGCTGAGAGCTCGGCAGTTGGCCAGGAAGGGCCTTCACCGGGCACCTAAAGCCATTTTCCAAGTTGAAGAAAACAGCTTTGCCAATGCCTGGGACTAAAAGTAGCCTCTGTAGCCTCTGTTTTGTACGACTCAGAGCTGCTGAATTAACACATGGC